TACTGTTAAAAAGTCAAGCCATAATTCGAACGAAAAAGAATTGTTTCAGCATTTTTGTATTAGGCCAAATACATAACGTTTCACATTTCTTACCCCTCCCCTTTCCCGCGTAAAACGTCGTCTCAAAACCAGTTACTCCACTCCTTAAGTGCGTGATGTCATTTATGGTAGATGTCAAGTCCTAACCTCCAATACACATTTTGAACAACCTTTGTTGTCAAAATGTTGATACCAAATACCCAAAATGAGAAATATGGGGTTGTCCATAAACGATGTCACATATGCTATTCTAATGTGACGTCAATTTACGTAGGAATGCAATTTATGACCTATAATGAAAGGGTGATCGGGGTGGGGGTGAGTGACGTCAATTATGGAAGACTTCTATAAAGCTGTGCTCAATGAAAATGAGGAACATAAAGTGTTCGTTTTCATGCATACCTTTGCTCATAACGAATGATCATAACTATTGCAAGCCTGTTGTCCTAAGCGGTGTTAAACAACCTCAGCACACCATCCCCGCCAAAAAGGGCCTGCCACTAAATGCCTACCGACGAAAATAGGCCGCACTACATTGACTCGGAATGAAATAACTTCTGACAATAAGGCTCAAACCAACTAGCTCCTGGCAACGATATTCGACAAGAATCCGACAATTATTGGCTTGCAGGTAAAATTGGACAAAACAGCAAGTTTCGCGACATGGGGCAAAACAAAAGATCAACCCTTAATAAGACAGCAGCTAATGTAAAAAGCCAGAGCTCAGTATAGGCTTGAGTATAATATAGTACTAGCAGTGGACAGCATCTAAGACGGTGCATTAGGAATACGGCAGTCGGCTAAACGCCCGAGTCCGACGATGTCTGAACATCAAGTTTGTCTTTTATGAAGTGCGGAGGCCGCTGTGTCACGGGCATTTTAGAGCCGAACGTCTCAGGGCAGCAGGTTGCAGAAATTAAAAGCACGTGAATTTGTAGAGTAGAGGGAGCACCGCATACCACTGTGTAATAAATTAAACACCAATATAATTTACCGTACTAAAGTCATTTAGATCTATTCTTCAGACTAAACGTCGCTAAAGTCTCAACGCCATAGTGCCTGATTTGACTTTTTTTTAATTACGCGGTATCTCTTTCTTTAACATTAGCCTAATGACAAATGACGTCACGCGAACTTGGTGACGTTGTGCTAAGTGGGGGATGAAACGTCGGGATTCAGAAAAATGACGTATTTCTTTTTTTTTAACAGACGAATAAGTGATAGATTCTAATTTTCCTACGAACTATAGGTTGATCTAGTTTTTTTTTCTAGAGGGAGATATCACTATATAGTGGGTGTTTTTTGTTTTTGTAATAATGGATGGTGGGGATGGGTAAGCATCGACTACTGAACAAATATAAAACTGATGAAAGCAGAAGGCAAAGAAAAAAAAACATGTGGTATTCGGATGTAACTAATTAAAATGTAAAACTATTTTTATAAACACAATAATCTTAATTCAGAAAAAGTGTAGGCCTAAGACCAATATCTACAGACAAAATAAACAACTAGGCTTAAATGGATCACCCATAAACAGTGCCGGCGCCAGGTTATTTAGCGCCCTAGGCAAAACTTAATAAAAGCGCCCCCCCCCCTCTTTTGTATGCCCCCGTATTATCAGAGGCATAGCAACCCTTCCCGGCGCCCGGGGACAAGCTTACGATTTGCACCCCTCCCCCCCCTCAAACTTTCAATTTGTTTGTCCAACCCATTTTGGCGCCCCCCCCCCCACTACGGACAGCGCCCTAGGCGACAGCCTAATTCGCCTTACAGGTAGCGCCGGTCCTGTCCATAAACGACGTCATACTTTTCCCGATGAATTCCCTTTCCCCCAATCGTCGCTAAAAGCAAGATGTTGATTTAATATCATTTCGCAGTTCTACTATACCCGAACGCGTAAACACAATTTCTAACGAAAACGAATATATTCATCATTTTTTAAAAAAATATTTTACACCGTCCCATATTTTGAGTCCAACGTCATTTATGAGGAATATGGACGACCTAATAATTGACAAGTTAAGGGGTCATCCATAAATGACGTCACGCTTTTTTAATACGATTTTTACCTCCCCTCCCCCCCCCCCGTCACAAAAAGTCAGACCCCCCCCCCTAAAATGACGTCACACATCAGCCTACACCCCCCCACCCCCCTCAAAATTGCAGTTGATTTTTTTTTTAAACATCGATATTTTTCCAAAATCTTGTCTGAAATATGTCAAAATATAGTATTTTAATCAATTTCTATTATAATTTATTAAAACTGTTTTTTTTAAAAGCTAAATAATGTCTAAAATTCGTTTTCTAGCTTTTCTTATCTATAAAGCAAAAGTGTGACGTAGCACCATCTGAACCCCCCTCCCCGTCATCACACATCGTCACAAAATTACCGACCCCCCCCCTCCCCCCTACGATTGTGACGTCATTTATGGACGACCCCCTAATCAGTACAAAAGGGTTTAGTAAATGTTGGACCTCCCAAAATTTTTTGAGATCTTGGATGTACATACATACATAGCCTTCATTTCACTTGAAAATGAAATTAAAGATAAGAAGACGGCTCTCTGTCTTACTTATATTAAACAAGACAGGTATTATATTAAACAACAAAGTCAACACAATATACATACGAATAGACATTTTTATCCAGGGAAACTACTCTAAATTTTATTTGGAAAGATGGCCGCTGTTTTTGTTCTACTAATATTTATCTCAAACACCTAGTTTAAAGTTAGTTTCATGTTATTTAAATTGTTTTGGTCACTTTTTGTTATTTTAAATCAATTATCTGTGATATTTTGTAAAATTTGACTTAAATAAACTTATTTAAACAAATATATTCATCAGCTACCTCTCCCGCACATTACTATTGCAGCCGAATTGATTACGCTAAAACGATAGATTACCGTTGGGGGTGGGGGGAGGGGGACACTTGACTTATTTTTAAAAGTAAAACAACAACAGTTTACTTTACATTACAGTCGAGTCAGGGGAGACTACAGTAGGCAGCATACTAATTTAAAATTTAGATGGATAGGGCCTAGCTGTAGCTAGTTAGCTACAAATAGCTAGGCCCTAATTATTAAATTAATAATTAAATCTAGCTAACTACATACAACTACGCCTACAATTTAATAATATGTAAATCTAGACGTCAATACTCTATTTTATTTAGATCTAGTATTTAGAAAGATCTAGATCTAGATTCAAGTCTGAACTTACACATTTCAATTATATTATTTGTAGTTCTAGATTAATCTAGATCTATGCCAATCTATGCAGTCTAGTCTCGGCTTATCTCTTTTATTACGGTAAGTCTAAATGTATAAACTGCAGAATTTGGCAAGTAACCTAAAAAACGTAAATAAAAGACTACACTACACCACAGACTAAAACCAAAAGTAAAGTTAGATTTTCAGAAAACAAAATCGTAGACCAATAATTTGGAATAACTTCAATAAGCAAATAAAACTAATTTATTAATTATTAAATAATATACCTATTAAATTATTAACAAATAATAAATAAATAAATAAGCTTACCAAAATGACAGAAAATTCACATCAATCAAGACATGGTTGCAGTGTAAATCCAACCAATGCTCTGGCCGTGGCTGTCAACCAACATTGAAGTAATGAGGAGAAAAACTTGGTTTGTTGTTATTTTCAGCCAGCTCCAGCTGACGTATTCTTACTTCCGGGTCATGGAAAAATCACAGAGGATTTTAATCTCTGGATGGGATGGCAACGACGCCGCCGCCATATTTGCATTCAAAAAGTCTTAATTAATTCGTTTTTGTTAATTTTTGACCTAATTAATTTTTTACATGCCTATGCTTATGACAAATATATGGTTCCATTTTAAAACAACGGACACTTTCGTATATTTATGAAAGTAATCTAGTACGTTATGAATATTTCGACCCATCCTTCTTTTGAAAATCTATTAGTAAATAATTACTAATTAGTACTAATTAGTACCCTATTAGACTTAGTTTAATAGTTAGACCTAACGAATGATTATTAATCTAAATTCTAAATCGAGGACTAACTAACTATCTCACAGCCTATAAGACCATAAGACAATCATAATAATGTTAGAGTATAAGTCTATATTATAGTTAGGCGTATTTAGGTTAATTGAAATTAATTACGCTTGATGGCTACATACTATGAAATATATACATTAAAAAATATTAGTGCACTTTAAAACCCTTAGTAGACAACAATAAAGATGTATTGTAGGCCGAGACAGTGGACAGTATTTTAATCATCTTTTTTTTTTTAATAAATAAAAACATTTATTACATTAATGTAATATTAAGCGATTTGACATGACCAATAATAAGTCGTTTACGAATGACGCAATACTCCTGAAAAGGGGGTGTGGCGGGATTGTGCGACGAGGAGTGGCTAACAAAGTGTGACCTCACGCCTTTGCATTTGGGAAATACTTTTAAAATACAATTACGCAGCTTTCTTTTGAATGTGATAAACATATAACGATTGCATGATCTATGCCAATATTCTCAATTTTTAGCGATGTTTTCTAAAAAATGTAAAAGCATTTAGCTGGCAAACGTCTTTAGGAGTGAACATGAAGTGTGAAGACTGTAAAAAGGGAAAAAAAAGGGGGGGTGGAGGAAAATGAAAGGTGGATGTCTGACATTTTTGTAAGACTGGGGACAGGTGTGTGTGTGTGTGTTTATAAAAAAAAACACCTAAAAATTGAGCCGACTGAACCGCGGAATGAAAAAAAAACAACAACAACTAGTAATGGTATTTAGGCTATGTACGGAAATTTATAAACGTTTTTTTTTTTATAGTTCTACTAAAACATAATTAGTTGGTAAACCAGGCAAGACAAAGCACAGTTTAAGATAAAGGCCCTTCGGGCAACTTGATGGATACCTGAGCTAGATGACATAGTGTCGACCACACTGTCCCTTCATTAATGTCAATAACAGTAATTCAACTCCTCACAACAACGGCACACGTTACCGTTAAGTAAAACCCTATATACAACAGTGTTTCTTTCAGGCATCTGTTGGGGGGAGGGGGGGGGGAAGAAGTACCCTCCCCAGAAGCACGTTTTATCCCTAATGAAATCATAAGTTAGGTGAACACACCTAAAAGCTGTGGTAGAGCTTTAAAGCATACATCACAATGCAGCTTTTAAAACGGAAACCCTCTCATTAGAAAATGGAAATCCTCTCATCAGTATACCATAACACTGACACATTGCTAGTTCGTTAAGTTGTTACCACCATTATGATGATCAATGGATGGAACTTGCTAATGATAACGTGCTCTAGACTGATTAGACTCGGGCCCCATAGCACAAAAGGTGTAAGAAAAATAGATGATGACAAGATATTGTTTGTATAATTCTGACATTTTTTCTGATAAAGATGTGGGCGCTAATATAACAAAATATTGTAAACGATTTCGATTTATCCCCTGAATGTCAGTTAAAATAAAAACTGTTATGTAATTTTTTAAGAATTCAAAAGCTCCGATGCTGTAAAAACTTCCATAAGCATTTCTAGAGTTTGTTATATAAAAAAAAATTAAGATTTTTAGCACTGAAGTCATATATATTCATCTTGTTTTTTTTTCTAACCAAGGGAAAAAACTGCCGTAATTGGATACCCATTAATAATTTTCTAGGTTGCCTCCCCCTTGATTTATTTTTCTCGAACTCTGCAACTTCCATATAGTTTTATTATCGAGCAATTAAAAAATTTACAATGATGCTTAGAGGTGTACATCATTTATCATAATGTATGTTAGCAGTCTTATAATGTTATACGCTCTATCCTGGGACGTAAATATCATGCAGGTGGAATTATTGTAAAAACACTGTATATATCAGTTTACAGCCGTACCCTTTAAACTTTATGTGATGCAAAAAGCTCAGCTACAGCTTGTTAGAAAATTTTGATTTCGGATCCTGAGTCCACCCATCTCTAATGGGTACCTCAATCTATCCGCAAAGATAAACAGGTAAACTCTACTTCAACTGCCAAATGGACCGCAATGTCAGAAATGGTAAAATAATATTTAGCAACATACTTTTAATAGATTATTCAGTAGGACTATGCTGTATTAGGTGGTTTTCTTATGTGGTTTTAGCAATAAGCTTAGGACTAAAGTTGATTGCAGAAGAAAGCAAAAATTATTGACAAGATTTGGGTTAGGATATTTTATTTTTTTCTCGTTGTTTCTGGGCGATATTCAACTCAGGAGCTAAAGCCAGCCACAAAGTAGAGACATAAAAGTTCGTGTACAACTTGTATTTTCTCAGATATAACTTCTACAGTATACATTGATGCAGTGGCGTAGCCAGGATCGTCTCAAGGGGGGGGTCCAATTTTTACCCGGGGACAAGCTTTCGATTTGCACACCACTCAGACTTTCGATTTGCAACCCCCCCCTCATACTTTATATATATACCGAGGGGTCTATGGGGGGTTGTGACCCCCCTAGCCCCCCCCACCCCCCTGCCTACGCCACTGCATTGATGTTTTTTAATTTGTAACTTAAAATTTATAAAACATTCGGCCCATTATTTTAAAATGTACAAGCTACTCACAACCAAGCAAATGAAATTAAAAGAATTGTGACGAAAAGGAATTAATGTGCCATAACTGATGTTATAAATTTATTTTTATAATCCATAATTAACCATCCTTGCTTTAATTAACCAGTATTGATAGGTCTATAAATTATAAAGATGGTAAAAAAACTATTACAATATTAAAAAAAAAACATTCAGAGCTATATCTATACATTCCTTCACAATCATTAAGGCCCTTATCTTTATTTGTATTTACAATTTTTGAAGGTTTAAAACTATTAAACACAGGTTTAATTATAATTTGGTTTTACAAAATAAAAAAATTGAATGTCGGAACATACAAATAATTTAGACCAAAACCTAACCGACAGTTCATATAATTATACAAGCTACCATATTTTCTTTCTTAACTGCAAAAAAAGGCAAGGCCAAATGTAGAAAAATTGCAGTTTTACAGTAATTCTAATCACTATACAACATATTAGCTATCATAACTATAAGGATACCATAGTACAATTATTTACATAGTTGAGAGACACCGTTTTGATCAGTCTTGGTCGTAATATTCTGATTTGACTTCATACAACAATTTAATTATCTGAAAAAAAAGGAGTTTTGAATAATATTATACACAAGAGAATAAATTGATTAATAATAATAAGCAATTAACAATACATCTGTCGTATTTGATCATATCAGAATTTAAAGAAGCTCGATTTGTATGAGATCAACCCCATATTTTATATCATGTATGTAGTGAACAAGAGAAGGGGACGAATGGGGGTGAATGTTGTTGTTAGGGTCCACTTGGTACAATATCCCGTTCGTCCTTGTTCAGTTCTCGTGCTGTGAGTTGTAATAGTCCGGTTTGTACCAGTTTATGAAAGGATATATAAGGTGTATGAAAACGTGTGTGATTGCCTCAGTTTCGTCCAGATCTCCAAGGTTAGTATAGGTTAGGTTTATACTAGTTTTTAGCCACTGTATCATAGTTTTACTAAATTACTAGCTTGTGTGTTTTGTGTTTAGAATAGACTGTGTTAGGTGTAGATAGTGTAGATACTATTTTATTCTTTTAGTTTCAACGAGCCTTTGTTGTCATTCAGTCTTGTTTTGTAACCCGTTTGTGGTTGTTTGTCTTATGTGTTGCGCTACGCACCAGATCACCCGTTACAACATGTAACAACGAACAATCCTAATATACTAGGCATGCTGCCCAGCTTTGCTTAGGCTTTCGAAAACATTGAGAATTTGAATGCTTAATTAATTCGCCCGAGGGTCGGTCTACGACCTCAGGAGTTATGAAGAGGTTCCTCCGTGGACATTTTTTTTCGATTTATAGCTCATATAAGGCGCCGGTCAGTCGAGGTCAGTTTTGACCCCCTCATCGTAGACTTTTCGGCCAACCGGCCCCGGTGTTCTGTCGCCCCAAGGCAAGATCCTGCCAAATTTGAAGCGCCTGCGGTGCCGGGAAGTGCCCTGTCGGGCACCCGACAACTTTGCTTTATATATTATAGAGATTAGCAAATTGCATATATCAACAAAGATTTCAATAAAGTAATTAAGGCCTGAAATACTTTAGTATAGAAATGTATTATTTGAATAGATGAATCTAGAATATCTAGATCTAGAATCCAAATAAATAAAATAAATTTTATGAGTTTAGGCCGGAAAAATTGTATTGTATACATTTCATAGTGTACGTAGATCTAAATCAAATTTGAATGAAATAGTTAATTTCTTTTTATTCTAAACACGGCAGATGACGTCATTAGTTAATGTATAAGCAATAGTGACGTCCCAGTTTTATGCGTTCTTTTTCACATCTATTAATGCTTTTCCGGTTGCATAAATAATACTGTTTCTCTACATTCGAATACGCCTTTAATTTTTATTTTTCTTCTTTAAATAAAATTGTGGTTATACATTTAAAACATCTAACATATTATCTTCAACAAAAGTCCGTATAAAGTTCTCCATATATCGCTGCCGTTTCTGACGTGATGTCCGGCGAAAATATTTTGCGGACAGACAGAGAGAGAGAGAGAGAGAGAGAGAGAGAGAGAGAGAGAGAGAGAGAAGTGCGCACATGGGGAATTATATATTAGGATAATTCCCCATGTGCGCTCTTCTCTCTCTCTCTCTGTCTGTCCGCAAAATATTTTCGCCGGACATCACGTCAGAATCGGCAGCGATATATGGATACCTTTATACGGACTTTTGTTGAAAATAGTATGTTAGATGTTTTAAATGTATAACCACAATTTTATTTAAAGAAGAAAAATAAAAAATAAAGGCGTATTCGAATGTAGAGAAACAGTATTATTTATGCAACCGGAAAAGTGTTTAAACTTGGGACAAGAACGCATTTATCAATGCTAAAAAAAAGAGCACGAAACTGATGACGTCATCTTCCGAGTTTAGAATAAAAAGAAATGAACTATTTCATTCAAATATGATTTAGAGCTATGTACTCTATGAAAAGTATACTATACGATTTTCTCGGCCTAAACTTAAAACAAGTTAATTAAAAAAGTCTAGTGACATTTGTGCGCAATTTCCTTATGTTATCTAAAAATAGCTCTGACGTATAATGTTGGGGTGCGTTCAAGCTAGAAGAACAATCGGTTTGTAGGTGTTTATGTAATTTTAAAATTTGTGACCGAACGAGAGAATATTTTTGAAAACTTTCTTCGGCAATATTGTTCTAAATTATGACAGGAATCGATTGGTACATGTTTCAAGTCGCTAAGTGGTCTGGTTGCCGAGATATGGGCCAAAAACTGCTTTTTTTCGAGATTTTTTGGCTTTTCTGGGAAATCCATGAAAGAAACCCGGAATTTTTATGGCCTATGTTCATCCTCGTAACTTGCTTAACATAATTGCTTTTGGAACTAGTCATCGATATTGCTTCGTTGAGGAGGAGATACGACTTAAAGCTGCGGACACACATTCATCCATCCATCCATCCATTCAGAAATGACGGGTTAATAAACGCAATTCTCCAGAATGGAAATTGCGCTAAAAATTATTTTATCTATTTGGATTCTAGATCTAGAGATTCTAGATCATATAGATCTAGATATTCTAGATCTAGATCTAGATGATCTATAAAGCTAAGTTGTCGGGTGCCCGACAGGGCACTTCCCGACGCCGCTGGCGCTTCAAATTTGGCAGGATCTTGCCTTGGGGCGACAGAACACGGGGGCCAGTTGGCCGAAAAGTCTACGATGAGGGGGTCAAAACTGACCTCGACTGACCGGCGCCTTATATGGGCGAATTAATTAAGCATTCAAATTCTCAATGTTTTCGAAAGCCTAAGCGAAGCTGGGCAGCATGCCTAGTGTAATTAGAAACAGCGAAACACGAAGAAGAAAAAAAAAATCAAACAGAACTAATGTACCGAAACACTTAATAAATGTAAGTTTTTTTGTATTCACTACTTTCGCTTTAGTCTTGTCGGACTAGAAATAAATTTTGAAATAATGTAATTTTACTGGTTTTTTTTTTTTTTAAATAAATATTTCATTTCAAATTTCAACACAATGTGTTTGGTAGTTGAAAACTTGAAATGTTTAAGTCTAACTGGATGGGTTGTTGAAATTTGCAAGGGAAATGTGCAGTGAATTAAACAGTGTTTTTATTTTATTTAATAACGCCATGAGCATGTCGTTTAGATAGTTCTTTAAGAACATGTTACACTAAACGCACACACACAGACACACACGGACGTCCACACACACGTCAACGTCAACGTCCACACACACACATACACACACAAACACATACACACACACACTCTCTCTCACTCTCCCTCCCTCACACACACACACTACTCACACCGATGTCACACTAAAAGCTGTTGGGATACCTTGTCATCCCAGATAATATTAGACAAGGTCGTTCACTAACACGCACCCACGTCCGCACACGCACCCACGTCCGCACACACATACATACACACATACACACACGCATACACAATTATGTCCACACACACACATGCACAAACCCAAACACACACACAAGCACGTCCACACAATCACTCGTGCACACACATGCATACACACACACGTCCACACACACACACACTCACATCGACACACTAACACAGCCTACCTGTGGTTGTTTTGATCATCTTTCTACTTTCTACTCTGACATCGTATCGTCAGAGCTCGTAGAGATGGAAAAGATTGAGGATAAGGAAGATGAGGATATAGAAGAGACTACTGATTCCATCTCATCGCCATCGACAGCGCTAGGAGACACGCCTACATTTCCGTTTGACATTATATATATATATATATATATATATATATATATATATATATATATATATATATATATATATATATATATATATTATTTATGTATGTATATAAATAAATAGATACACAAAAAGTATATATGTATGCATACAGTGGCGCATATACATATATATATATATATATATATATATATATATATATATATATATATATATATATATATATATATATATATATATATATAATGTATGTATATAAATAAATAGAAAAAGACACGCCTACATTTCCGATTGACATTATATATATACTAGGCATGCTGCCCAGCTTCGCTTAGGCTTTCGAAAACATTGAGAATTTGAATGCTTAATTAATTCGCCCGAGGGTCGGTCTACGACCTCAAGAGTTATGAAGAGGTTCCTCCGTGGACATGTTTTTTCGATTTATAGCTCATATAAGGCGCCGGTCAGTCGAGGTCAGTTTTGACCCCCTCATCGTAGACTTTTCGGCCAACCGGCCCTCGTGTTCTGTCGCCCCAAGGCAAGATCCTGCCAAATTTGAAGCCCCTGCGGCGCCGGGAAGTGCCTTATCGGACACCCGATAACTTTGCTTTATACATTATAGAGATTAGCAAATTACAAAGATAAACAAAGATTTCAATAAAGTAATTAAGGCCTGAAATACTTGAGTATAGAAATGTATTGTTTGAATAGATTCTAGATCTAGGTAGGGTCTACATCTGTGTAAGTCTAGATTTTCCGTAGATCTAGATCATCTAGATCTAGAATCCTAATAGAATTTTTTTTAAGTTTAGCCCGAGCAAAATAAAAAATAAAAATAGTATAACCAAGTTGACTTGGTGCGTCTCGAACCCGCACCACCTGCGTGGGGTTAAGTACACTATCATCTCCGCTACATAGGCACCTTAGAAAAAACGGAGAATAAAAGACGTATTTTAAAATCTTAACTTACGCGAATATGCCTATTCTTTCAAATTAATATTTTTTATCCCAAATTAGCCAGTTCCAAACAAAGACTTTGTATAAAATAATTATGTCTTGAAATAGTTTAGTCCTAATATAGAAATTTATTTTTGGAATAGATTCTAGAGAAGTTAGAGTCTAAATCTAGATTCTAGATCTTAGCGTCTACGTCTCGATCTAGTTAATAGTTATTGCGTAGATTTGTAGATTTAGATCTAGTCTAGATCTAGAATCTCTAGATCTAGAATCCAAATAAATAAAATAAATTTTATGAGTTTAGGCCTGAAAAATTGTATTGTGTACATTTCATAGTGTACGTACATCTAGATAAGAGATCTAGATCTAAATCAAATTTGAATGAAATAGTTCATTTCTTTTTATTCTAAACACGGCAGATGACGTCATTAGTTAATGTATAAACATTAGTGACGTCACAGTTTTATGCGTTCTTTTTCACATGTATTAATGCTTTTCCGGTTGCATAAATAATACTGTTTCTCTACATTCGAATACGCCTTTAGTTTTTATTTTTCTTCTTTAAATAAAATTGTGGTTATACATTTAAAACATCTAACATATTATTTTCAACAAAAGTCCGCAAAAAGTTCTCGATATATCGCTGCCGATTCTGACGTGATGTCCGGCGAAAATTTTTTGCGGACAGACAGAGAGAGAGAGATGTGCGAACGTGGGGATTTATATATTAGGATATATATATATATATATATATATATATATATATATATATATATATATATATATATATATATATATATAATATTTATGTATGTATATAAATAAATAGATACACAAAAAGTATATATGTATGCATACAGTGGCGCATATACATATATATATATATATATATATATATATATATATATATATATATATATATATATATATATATATATATATAATGTATGTATACAAATAAATTTAAAAAAAGCATATATGTATGCATACAGTGGCGCATATACAACGAGCTGTCGACAGTGTTTCTTTGTGCGTCTATTAGGTGAGTAGTTAGACATTGCTCTACCCACCCCTACCCCATCCCAATCTATCTGTACACAACCAAATTAAAAAACCATTAGATTTATTACCGCTGGAAGGGGTAGTAACCTGCTGAACACAGACAGCATTGATAGACGTTTTACCATTACCTGAAATGGCGTTAACAATTTAGTATTCATATAAAAAATTATATATATATATATATATATATATATATATATATATATATATATATATATATAATTAGAGAAAGAAAAAAGAAATATCTATATAGGAAAACTGATGACAAAAGAGCGAGAGAAATATCTTACAATTATCTTGTTAAGGCTAGGGATGAAGATGTACGGAGTGTAATGAAACACTTACACGATACTACTTGCATAACGGTCATACTGGTCACCTCAACACTTGGGGCGTCATTAACATCATTATGCTCTTGCAGGTCAAATATATTCCCCATATCTCGATTAGTATGGATGCATCCGAGTACCTCTACTGCAACATTTTAGTTAGACAGAATAAATGAAATTTTTTACTTCATAAAACTCGGAGATTGTTTTGTTTGATTATAACACCTGAATGATTGAAGATTGTTTCTTTTGATTATAACACATGAATGATTGAAGATTGTTTCGTTTGATTATAACACATGAATGATTGAAGATTGTTTCGTTTGATTATAACACATGAATGATTGAAGATTGTTTCGTTTGATTATAACACCTGAATAAGAGTTAATAAACCTAAATGAAGTTTCATAGGCCGATTTCAAAGGCCAGAAAAAATTGTTTTATTTCAAAACTATTTTAGAATGAAAAAAAAAAAAACGAAAAATAAACCGTTTTATGAATCATATGAAATGGCAGGAACACTTACAAAAATAAAATAAAATAAAAAATTGTGGTGGACAATAATTTACGATTATAAACAGTACTCCTTTAAAACCTAAATTATTTCTCAATTTAAAATTTTATATTTGGCAAAAAAAACAAAATAAAAAAAAAACAAACGGATCAATCAATCAACAACTTTCTCATCAGATTGTTCTTGGATGTACAAAGGCTATGAAAGCAAATCTAGAAAAAAAGAAGGCTGAAATTGGAATCAACTGGCCATATGGCACGTAACATGTTAACACAGGGGCGTAGCGAGGGGGGGGGGGGGGGGGGCGGGGGGGTGCGGACCGCACCGGGTGACACCATTTAGGGGGGTGACACCAAGGCAAAAAATAGCAAGCAAATAGAAAATTTGAAAGTTTGTCCCCGGGAAGGATCGCTACGCCTCTGGGGGGTGACACCATTAAGTGCCGCACCGGGTGACACCCGACATCGCTACGCCACTGTGTTAACATAATACTTAATTGTGTTGAAGGATATTCCCTTTAATAGTACTGTTCAGATGGAAGAAAAATAAATACGATCAAGGTGTTTCTTTACAGCCATTCAAAATTTGTCTTAGTCTTACTAAAATGAAATTTCAGGTTAAAAACTTGGCTCGATGTAAATAAATAGAAATGTAGTATTAATAGCAAATACATTTTACCATGTTCACTGCTTTTGCAACTTTTGTAAAATTCATTCTGCCGTAAAATATCAAATTTCAGAATTTTTTTCAGGTTTTGATTATATTTAAAATGTTTAAGGCCTCAGCAATAGCAAAATTGACAAAAAAAAACCCCAAACAAACAAAACACGATTTTCATCTAAGTCAACAATAACGATCGGTCATCTCATTAACTAAGTGGTGTGGATTCCCATTGGGACCACCCCCCCCACCCTACCCCCCCCCCCCCCCCCCCCAAAAAAAAAACAAAAAAAAAACAACTAAATCTCGAAATCTCGAATTCAAGAGTCTATTTATCTAAAAAAATGTGTTATAGTTTAAGTAAGATTTACCTTAAATTCATTGAGTCACATTGTTTTCTGATTCTCTTGTCTTTTTAATTAGTATTTGGTGGTTGGTTGATATGTTTTACATATCAATACTAGTTATAACGTATCAAAATATATTATAAATTGATTAAAGGTGGTTTTCTTTATTTTCGATAAGTTATTTTATAGGGCTTGATGTTTGCAAGTTGGAAAATGTAATACGGAAATGACATAGATATCAAAAGAAATATTGCGTTGTGATGAAAACAAAATGTATCTTCAAAACCATACTCGAGTTTTGCGAGGAATAATTTTTGGTTTCAATCTCTTTAAAAAATAACTTTAAAAGTAATAATTACCTATATTTAATAACGTTAAAAGGTAACACTGACCGTTTTCTTTTTTTAAACATAATAACATTTTAATAAAAATAGCAATTTAAGTAGTAAAGACAGTAACATAGTATTTAAAAATGTGGAATAAAGAAGTAATATTATTTTACATACATAGTTATAATACTCAATGGGATAGGATGAGAATATAATAGATAGATGAATGAGAAATGTTGTAATGAGTCAATTTAGTTGAATTTAGGAGGCCATTAAATAGTTTTTTTCGTTTAGTTTTGAATATATTTTAGGATACAGATAGCTTTATTTCTAATTTGTGGAAGATTATTCCACAAATTAAAATAAGGGGTCATCCATAAATGACGTCACACTGATGGGGAAGGTGGGTCCGTAATTTTGTGGGGTGTGTGATGAGGGTGAGGGGGTGGGGGGGGGGTTAGATGGTGTTACGTCACACTTTTGCATTATAAACAAGCAATGTTAGAAAACGAGTTTTAGCCGTTATTTCGCGTTTTAGAAAACGGTTTTGATAAATTGCAACAGGAATTGATCAAAATACTCTATGTTGACAGAGTTCTGACAACATTTTGGAAAAATATCAATGTTTTAAGAAAAATTCAACAGCAATTTTGAGAAGGGGGGAAGGTTGTGTCACGTCCTTTTAGGGGGGGGGGGGGGTCTGGCTTTTTTGAACGACGTATGACGGAAAGGGGGGGGGTAAAAATCGTCAAAAAAAAGCATGACGTCATTTATGGATGACCCCCCCAAGAGGTGTTTTTAGAACTATTTAAATAAATGTTTACAACAAAAGTAAATCTCTACTAGACCCTAGTAATCATGATCTTGATAACCATTTTTTTTCAAAACATTCAATGCACAGTTGAAAGAAAATTGACTTTTGGCTCATACTGCTGGTTTGTTTATAAAATCTCATTTCCGGTGTTTCTTTCAGACATTTTTCCAAGGGTCCACTAGTAGCTTTCAGGGAAGGATTCGGACAAGAATTTCCGGGAGGAGGCGCACTGGTAAAAGTATACGTTATATTTTGTTTTCTATATCTGCGAATTTCTACACGTTTTGTAAATGCATTGCTCCCATTCAGGGGCGTAGCGAGGGGGGGGGGCGGCGGGTGCGGACCTCACCGGGTGACACCATTTAGGGGGGTGACACCAAGGCAAAAAATAGGAAAATATATAGAGAAAAACTTGAGGGGGGGTGAAAATCGAAAGTTTGAGGGGGGGGGGGTTCAAATCGAAAACTCGAGGGGGGGGGGGTGCAAATCGAAAATTTAAAAGTTTGTCCCCGGGAAGGGTCGCTACGCCTCTGGGGGGGGGGTGACACCATTAAGTGCCGCACCGGGTGACACCCGACCTCGCTACGCCACTGCTCCCATTAAAAAAATTTTTCCAATTCTTCAAATTTACGTATATAAAAGTAAAGTTCCATTTCGAAGCCTGACGGTCCATGGGGAAAGTGAAGTAGAGCACCTGTTTCTGTGACCTCGGCATATGAAGTGACATTGTGGTCAGCATTATGCCCAGCCGCCTTTACTTTCCCTAAATTGAGTTAGATACCCATCAGAGTTGGACGTTCGACTGCCTTGAACCCGGATTCGAATTCGAGACTCAGGGACGTCCTACAGTCACAGGTCCGAACTGAGATCCAAACGCGAGACCTTCAGGTTAGCAGCCAAACGCTCTACCATTACGTTGAAAAAATATATACCCTCCAATAATTCAATTAAGATAGAAAAATAAGGATACACGTTTTAATCAATTAATAATGTTTATATTTAAACCATCGTGATAATATATAGACACCGGGCTTTGTGTAAATTGCAATAGTTATATTTAAGGTATAAACACTCTAGCTTATACAAAAAGCGTAATAAATATGCCATTTATAAATTCGATAGTTTAAAATAAAATAAAACTGTTCTTATCACAAAATAAACCTTAACTTTGTTGATTTTTATCCTTTATCTTTGGTGACCAACAATTAGAAGTTTTATCCTACTGACGACATATATCCGCGCATGACGTAGTACGCATTCGGCGGGAGTTCTTGCTTTGAGCTCGCGTCATTTACGTTTTCTTCCAACTCGGTGACGTCAGAGTTATGTAAATCTGACGTCGGGGGAGTATCACGTGAACAATCTTGCTGTATCGAGGCCAAATCTTCCCCCTCGGTTATCTTACCCTCCGTCGTGTCGGAGAGCCGGCGCAATATCACGTGACCGCTGGAGGTCGAGGTCGTGGTGATGACCTTGGTGTTGACGCACACGACCTTCTGCCCGGCGTGACGCGCCGTCGTGACGGTTTTGATGGTCCTGACGCTCGTCTTCCTCGTCTCCTTCATGATCTTCTCGGTCTGCGTCGTCGAGGACCGGACCGGAACCAGTTTCAGGCGAGCTCCCGACGGATGACGGTACACCGTCGTCTCCTGTCTCTCCATCTTGTTAGTTGACTCTATTAATTAAAAAAAAACGTCAGTTAAAAAAAAAAAAGTAAATATAATCAAAAGTCTTTAGAAACTATTCAGCAGAGTTTCTTTCAGGCATCTCTTGGGAAAGTGGGGGGTGGGGAGGAATTAGGTGGGGGAGGCTCTACCCTCCCAAAGAACGTCTATTCTCCCCACCCCCGAATGAAAAATATGATGGGTAATTTATATTTTACCAGTGTCCGCCCCCCCCCCCCCCACCCCCGAAGATTTCAAGTGTTGCCCCCCACCCCACTTCCCGGAGAAAAAATTCTGAAAGAGACACTGCTCTTGAGTAATATGATTAACAATTAACCCTAATCCTAACCCCTAACCCTTAGCCTAGCTTTTCCATCTGCTTTTCGCTCTTAGTTGTCTATTAAATCTGATATTAGTATGTTAACACTTATCTAAAACTAAATTTGGTGCTGGCTCTTAAGCTGTGTAAACGACTAGGCTAAAGAGGAAAATGTGGTGAAGCTATATTCAAGCACAACCATGGGATGAGCAGGAGGAAATCACTCTTGTCAACTTCCCCAACTGTTTGAGTAGTTACACGCCCCTGGGCCCAAGGTTCACGTGGGTCATCCCTGAGTCCACTCAGCTCTAATGGGTACCAGACTCTAATCCATAGGTCTTCCCTGAGTTCGCTCATTTCTGATGGGGACCAGACTCTAGTCTGTAGACTGTCCCTGAGTCCAATCAGTACTAATGAGTACCCTACTCAAGTCGAGGTAGCAGAAAGTAGCTGTATAAAATGCTTATATCGAAGGTAGAAAAAACAGCTGAACTCTACGTTAGCTATCTGGCAGTTAGAACTTAATAATTTTCTCTTTCAGCAGTATGAGAGATGATTTCGAAAAATATTTTTTTTTACTGAAATGTATGACAGTATCTCATGTAAACTATACAAGAGTTTATAAAAATTGCAATGTCTGAACTTACTTTAATAGTGTGTTTTTAGTTCTCCCTCAAAGGGTTAAGATAGCCTTTGAACACTATCTGAGCCAAAGTGGTTTATTAAAAATTATTTTTTTTTTTAGTTTTACATCTCAAGGCTGAAGTAGAGTTATTGTATACCTTATTAAGTCTTATCCTGTTGGTTGAGACGGGACGTCTATTAGAAAAGTACCATAGTAATCCAGTACTGTCTGGTACACAAACACTGGTGAACGCTATGGAAAAAAATTATGAACAAACTTAAGCTCACAAACGAACACATTGTTCCCCCCACCACCCACAGGCCCCACCCCCCACCCACAGGCCTGACACCCTTAAGCCCCACGACCGCCACCACACAACAAACAATAGCCCTCGTCAGCACCTCATACAAGACTTATAGATCCGTGCTAATATTTTCTACCATTTATTTTTGGATACTAAACGAAAAAAAAATGTTTTTTACAGTCTTCGACAGCGAGCGTTCAAAACGTTTCTTGAAGGTGCCTTGATTGTCTTGATTGGTTAAATAAATTCTCTGTCCATGACCTTAAGCCATGAAAGGAAGAAAATTCTACATACTCTATATGTTTTAGGTTGATCAGAATGTTTTAGAAAGTAGGCCTATAAACATGGAATTTCGTTCGAAATATTTTTTTTACAATATTTAAGAAATAATTTCTAGGATGGAATTTTATGAAGAGAATTTTAACTCGTCTAGACTGCCTAAAAATCATTCTTTTAAAGCGTGCAATTTTTAAAGAAAAACTAAACTATTTCAAATAGTCATACGTGTTTAAAATACAAGTCTAAGTTGGTAAATAAAGGGACATTATCGGTGTTTTTAATATCTTTCTTGAGTTGTATCCCTTGATTCATTGTGGCAAATTTTAAGAAAGAAAAAAAAAAAAAACAAACCCGGGACAAACAACGAGGCTATCTAGACGCTCCCTTGGGCGACAATTAGCAGTTAGATTTTTTTTTCAGCGGAAGTCCCAAAATAACAATTCGAAAGTACGCAACTTTGTTGTTTTTTGTTACAACTATCCTTATACACAACCACGACATATCAAATTTAGATGTTTTTTTTTTTAAATCTGACTTCTGATTCGCTTTAACTATTGTATAATAAAAGAACACTTCCGAAAATGGTAATCGTTAACTGAAAAGTGATACGTTCATCAAAGAATAAACAAGGACTTGAACTTTCATTTAAAATCATTAATGGCACGTTAATACATAGAGAGAAGAAAAAAGAGTTACTTTGACAAGCTGATTAATACACCAGCTCGGTAAACTAGTCTATATGTAAGTAGTAAATATAATTAGACTATATATAGTAATATAAGTAAGTTATATTTGTACCGTATAGGCCTACATACGTTCACACACATTAGCTTCACTTACAATGTGTGTGTAGACAATATATTATGTATATGCAGATTATATACATGTGGACTATATATATGTAGATTCTAT